CCCCATCCCCCTCCCTCGCTCCCTCTCTCTCTTTAAACATTGTAAAACGAGTTTTTTTTTTTTGTGAAATGTTCCCCCCGGGGAATTCGATGAAAAAAAAAAAATGTACTGGAACGCGGGTGTGCACGTCGTTGTACACGTGGCCGCAAAACCTTAATTTTAACAAAAAAAAAAACGAGGGAAGATGCTCTAAAATCAGTGATTTCATCATCATCATTATTATTATTTAAAAAAAAAAAAAGATATTTTGAAGTGTTTGCGCCTGGATGATTTGTTTGATATAAAACATATACGATGTGACAGAAGAATAAAAGATAGAGAAAGGGGTGATGGTGGTGATTGGTAAAGAGGAAGTGGAAGAAGAAAAGGAGGGAAATAAGGTTGAGCGTAATTTTTTTTTTATTTTGTGGGGGGACCATGTGTAATTTTAATTAAAAATTTAATATGGAAAATATATATATTCGGTCGAACGGATTTAAAATGAAGAAAATTTTTTTTTTTTATCAAAATAATAATAATGATGATAAAAAAATAATAATAATTTTTTTCTTCTTCCTCCATTCTTTCGGACAATACGGATACGGATTTCTACTGACACGCAATAATATGAGAGAGAAACGATAGCGTCAAAATTATTAAATCATATAAATATCCTTATAAATATATTTAATATAAACATAACGAATGGGATTTATCATCAAAAATATAGGAAAAAAAAACAGTAAAAGTTTAATTTTATTTAATTGAAAAAACATTGAAGCAGAAAACTAATCGGTTTTCCTGTCGGACATCTTGCTGACACATCTTTGACCGAAGGGTCAGGTTCAGATTTTAGTTTATTGACCGAAATTGTTTAAATTTTCTTTTTTTTTTTGTTTTCACCTTCTCTCTTTCTCTCTGTCTCTCCGCCATCTTTTTATTATTTTTTTTTTTTCGGTTTTTTATAAAAAAAAAAATATCGTAATCATTTTGAAAATGATAAGGTTTAAAGTCGCAAAATTTTCCTACCGTATTCGATGCAAATCAGGCAATAAAACAAAATGTCAGACCGAATTCTCTCTCTCTCTCTCTCTCTCTCTCTCTCTCTCTCTCGCATTTCTTTCCACCTATTTTTTTTTTTTAAACAATTCACGTGATCGGATCCCGAATCATTTTTCAACTTTTCCGATTCCCGAGACTGACTGACATTCACGATGGAATGAAAAAAAAAAAAAAAAAGAGAAAGAGAGAGGAGGGAGAGAAGGTGAGAGAGAGAGAGAAGGGTAAAGATTGTAACGTTTTCATAATGATGAGCCATTTACGATACTTTTTAACCATTTTTTATTCCCGGAAGACAACCGAATAAATAACATATATGTTAATGCAAAAGGACATGAATTCAACATCTCTTTTTATCCCCGTTTGCTTTTCTCCTCCTCCTCCTCCTCTCCCCGATATCATTTGGGAACAAGAATTTTTTTTTGACGGAGGGAGGCGGCAGAAAGGGGCAAAGGGTAAAAAGCAATTTAAATAATGCCGTCAAATTCAGACGTATACATACACACACACACGTGATGTGTAATAATGACTCCTTCGGTTTTTTTTTTTTTTTTTACACAATTTATTTTTAATAATAATAATAATTATTAAATATATATATATATGTATAATATAACGACGACGGGATATTCAATTTTTTTATCGACATTTTAACGGATTTCCGATAGTGACGTCACTTAATTTTATTTTTATTTAATATACAGAGTTTTTTTTTACACTCTCTGAAAAGAAAATAATGGATTATGGGGAAGCGGGTGAAATGATATATGTACATATAATTTTCTAGAATATTTTTTTTTGCCCGGTTTTTTCAATAGATGAAGCAGACGACAAATATATAGTATTATTTATTCTAAAATAAATAATGATGATGATGATGATAATAATAAAACAATAAAACTTTCGTAACTTCCATATAATTATTTTTTATATTAACCAAAAAAAAAAAATCGACAAAAATATTCATGAATGTTTTTTTTTTCTACTTCCACGATTTTTTTATCCTTTATTATTATTACAATTATTATTATTATTATTTTTTTTTAATTCAACGCGAGATTCCATGCTTGCACTAGTAGGAGTTTTATTTCCAAAATTCTACCCGATTCCTTACGAATAAATGTTTCGATATTAATTTTTTCCTAGATTTTTCCAGAATATTCTCCAGTCTTATCCAGACTTTTCCAGTCTTCTCCAGAATTTTCTCCAGAATTCTCCAGTTTTCTCCAGGATATTTTTAGACTTCTCTAGGCTTATCCAGACTATTCTAGTTCTCCAGTTTTCTCCAGATTTCTCCAGACTTCTCCAGATTTTTTTCCAGACTTCTCCAGTCTTATCCAGAGAAACCTCCCTAATCTTCTACACAGCCTTTCTAAACTTTTTCAGCTTTTTTCTAAACTTTTTAAATTTTATTTTCAATCTTTTCCAAATTTTCTCTGGACTTTTCTTGTTATTATTATTATGATTCTCATCATCATTATTATTATTTTTATATCCATGGAACGAATTCTATTTATAACAGATTTTAAACTCACTCACCGCCAATATACCTCGATATACCTCGGAGTATAAAAAGACCTTAAATCTATTTTCAACAGGGAAACCCTCCACTCTCCAAAAAAAAAACGGAGAAATTTCACTATGAAATTCGGTTATAAAAATAGATAAAAATAAATCGAACGTCGATCGATCAGTAATAGTCAGTCTAATAATACCATTATTATTATAATTATTATAATTATTATAATTATTATAATTATTATTATTATCATTATCATTATCATTATCATTATCATTATCATTATTATTATTATTATTATCATTATCATTATCATTATCATTATTATTATTATTATTCATTCGTTCCTTAAATAAAAACTGTTAGGAATTATGTAATAAAGATAAAATTTTTTTTTTTTCTTGGAGGAATTTAAGTGAAATTTTTTTAATCGAAGATTTGAATAATTATTATAATTATAATTTTAATATATATATATTTAATACGTGAAGAATGAAATTTAAAACAACAACAACGACAAACAACAAACAATAACAGTAGGAAAATTAGAAAATTTAACGCAAGAGCGACAAACAAAATATTAAAGTTTTATATTTATATATATTAAAATGGGATATGGATATGATAAATGATGTTTTTCCTTTACGTAACAGGTTTTAACTCTGTATGTGCATATATATATATATTATAATTTATATTATTTTATACTGAAAGAATAGGAAAAAAAATGACATAAAATTTAAATGTCAAATTTTGAAAAAAAAAAAAAAAATTTTATTATGATTGATGTTGTTAAGAATTTTTTTTTTTGCCCTTTTTATTCTTTCGAAACATTAGAAAAATTTTTTTTCTTTTAATACAAATTAATAATTTATATTAGATATCTTAAATTATTAATAAATAAATTTATTTTTTTTCGATACATAAATAAATAAAAATTTAAAGGCGCGGGAAATGGGAGGGAGAGGCGGAGTGAAGGCGAGGGAGGGAAAAAGAAAATTTTTTATATTTTCTTTTATTTTTTATTATATTTTTTTTTTTCGTTCGTTCCTTCGTTCTTTCCTTCCTTTCATTTCTTTTTCTTAAACGATCCATAAAATTTATTTTCTTTTTCATTTTCTTTCCTTTTTTTTTTTTTTATTTTCATCACCTTATTGTAAATTCAAACCTAAAAATTACACGTTATTCTTATCCTTTTTCCCTTCAATTTTTATCATTTAACCTTAAACGCTGTGAAGAAAAAATCATAAAATAAGAGAGTTTATATGAATTCATTTTTCATTTTTAACTTTTTCTTTTCCTTTCATTTAACTTATAAACTTTAACGTTTTTCCCTTTTTTTTTTACTTACAGAAAGTTTTTTTTATTTCCCTGGAATATATTAACAAACGGGTAACAAAACAAAAAAAAAAATTGAATTTGAAATTAGTTAACAAACGATATGATTTTTTTTTAAAATTTTTTATTGAATAATATATACACCGTGATTAAATTTTTTTTTTGCATATATATTTTTCTCTTCAATAAACCTACGGTAAAAATCAATAATAATAATAATAATAATAATTTAAATAAGAAACGAAAAGACGCGACAGAAAAAAAAATAAAAAACCAGAAAATTACATTTAAAAAAAATACATTTAATTAAAATTATTATTTTTCTTGGGATTTAAAATTTAAATGTCTCCCACCCGGTGACGTCACACGCGGGTCCTACATCACTTCGCCGTTTAAAAAAAATTAGAGAAATTTTTTTTTTTTTAATTTTTTTTTTTCTGTAATTTTTGTTTTTTTTTTATCGGTACGACGACATCGGCGGGGAAAGGGAAGGAAGGAGAGTGGGGGGAGTGGAAGGAACAGGAAAAGGAAGCGTTAATATTATTTATAATTTTAAATTTAACCCGTTGAATTATAAAAAAAAAAAGGTAATTTTTTAATGGATGATACGTAATGCACACATGTGCACTTTCACATTTTATTATCTAAAATTATGATAAAAAAAAATTTATTACAAATAAGACGACGATCGTAAATCGTTAAATTAAAGAACAAAAAACAAAAAGAATACGCCGCCATATTAAATTTTTCATAACGTTTATTTTTTTGAAAGTTTTGAAAATGTTAAACCTCCTTCCTTGTTTTAACATTAGGATATATAAGTTTATGTGGAAAAATATAACGGTAACCTGCGGTTGATTTTTCACTTGAATTAATTCATATCTTTGGTAAATTTAATTCGGGATGGGGTAGGGGAAGAGGGGGAAACGAAGCCCTAAAGTGTTAAAAAAGTGTGAGTTTAAAAGTCAAATCAAATCAAATCAAAAAAAAAGTTTGAAGTGTGAGAAACAAAATTATAAAGTCGCATTTAAAAAATATATAAATTTTTGTCCAGAAAAAAAAAGGAAAACCCTCAAGGAAATAAAAATGATCGGTCACCCGTGGTCGTCGTTTTCGAAAGGTTGGTAATCCTTTTTTTTTCTCCACCATTTGTTTCCTCAAGCTTTTGAAAACCTCAAAAACAAATTTTGTTTTTCTTTCATGCGAAAAAATTAATTTATAAAGTTAAACGTTTTGCTGTCGTGATGTATAAATACAAAACTGACCGTAACTTTTTACAAAAAAAAAAAAAAACTTTGATTGAAAAACACCAAAACAAACACAGAAAAAGAATAATAATAATAAGAAAGAAAAAAAACAATAATCCTTTCTAATGAAAAAAAAAAAAAACCAGAAGAAAGAAAGAAAGAAAGAAAGAAAACATCAATAACAGAGAAAACAAACAAAACAACAAATACTACAACACAACCTAACAAAAAAAAATTTTTTTTTCATCCATCTCGATGAAAAACAAACAAACAAACGAAAAAAAATTCAATAATATTAGTCGGATAATTTTTTCCAGAAGCAGGACATGTTAAAGGTTTAACGAGATAGATAGAGAGAGAGAGAGAGCAATTTAACAATTTGACGATTCAACATAAACTTGGACAAACGGACAACAACAACATTCTTTAGGTCAGCAAAGAACAATTTATATAAAATTCTATCGGGAGAAACAAAAAATAAAATAAAATAAGAGAGAGATAGTAAATTTAAAGTGATTTCGTGTATTATTTTCTTTTTTCTAACTATAAAAACTTTAACTACAAACATAACATTAAATTTGAGGTTGTAGATATAAAAAAGAAAAGAGTGAGAGAGTGAGTGAGAGAGTAAAAGATTAAAAGAGAGATTGAATTCATGTGAACATTTTTCATCCCTGAATAAGTGAGAGAGAGAGAGAGAGAGATACTTTGAGTGGGCAAAACTAAAGAAAATATTGTCTTAAGAGATTGGTAACCTGACAATTATTTTCTTTTCATTAAACCTTCTCTCTCTTCATATGTATTTTTAGAAATTAATCTTTCCCCCCTCTCTCTCTCCCTCTCTTCCTCACTCTCTCACCCCCTCTTATCCATCCATCCATCCAATTTTTTTTCCCCTCCGGTTAATAAAAAATAGTTTTTTCGAATTATAACAATTAACTTTGATTAAAATCATTGATTTTATAGTACGCGCGCTATAAATGAAATTTTATAGCAATTTATAGACTATTTTTTTCTTTCTTAATAAGCCTATATAAAACGGCAAACGTGGCAGCAGAGAAAAAAAAATTAAAATTTAATTTTCTTTTTTTTAATAAACATAAACAAAAAAAATTATCGGTGAGCGTGAGTCGAGTTAACGAAACGTTTACGTAATAATAATAATAATAATAATAATAATAATAATAATTCGTTGTTTTTTTTTTTTTGATTTCTGAGTAGTAGCAGAAGAAAAAAAAACTCGAGTTTTAATAATAATAATAATAATAATAATAATTAAATATAATTGCTTTTGAATGGGAAAAAAAAGGATGTTTGTAAGCAAAAAGTTAAGAGAGAGGTTTTTATTTGATTCTCCACAGCGAAAAAAAAAGGAAAAAAAATGGAAAAAAAGGAAAATAAAAAAGGAAAAACAAGTGCTGCTTTTTTTTCCGCCGATTAAAATTCAAACAACAGAAAAAAAAAAAAAAAATTAATCGACCCGACAGTAAAAAAAAAAAAAAATTTTTTTTTATATTAATATATATATATACGTATAACAAATGACCACCAATTACGAAGGGATGAATTAAATAAAAAAAAAGTAGGGAAAAATCGCGCGGGGGGGGGGCGCGGGAAGCCGTACGTACGAAGGGAGTTTAATTGTTAAGTTATATAATGGGTCTTCCACCCCCCCGAACCTCTTCTAAATATAATAAATATATATATATATATATTTCCCTTTCCACGAAATGAAATTTTTTTCTTTCTTCCTCGTTGCCATTTTTTTTTTTTTAATCGAAACCTTTTTTTTATTAAATCATTTAAATATTAATTCGAATAAAAAAAATTTTATCATCATCATCATCATCATCATTATTTCTTATTAACAAAATGGCGACGATTTTTCATTTAAAAAAAAAAAAAAATTTTTTTTATTCCTCCCTCAAACATTTTATTATTATTATTATTATCACTATTTTTTTTTTAATTTAAACGTCGTCGTCGTCGTGAAAATTTAATTTAAGTTCCGGTTTTGTTGGTGCAAATCCTTGAAAATATTTTTTTTATAATTAAATAATAATAATAATGATGAAGATGATGGCGATGATCATTTAGGAGAACGGATCGATTACTTCCGGTTATGACGAAGTCACTTTTAACGAGGG